TTGTTGTCTTACATGTCGCATCCTGTAAGTAGTAATTCATTTTCTTTCAGAAATATGATCATAAAACTTGAGCATTAGTTAGGCTCTGAAAAATACGCATCAAAATCAGGTGATTTGGTGGGAAAGGGATTTGAGAAGAAAATCAAACAGCTGTAGAGACAATTACATATTTAAACTTAAGTGATATCTGAAAATCTTGGTGTATCCCTCAGAATGTCAAATGACTACTGGATTTTGGACGTGGAAAACACCGCATTCATGAATTAATGAAGGAAAGGGGTAAGTATCAAAGTAATATTTGATTCAAAAGGAATTGAAATACCAGAATCTCAGAGCCTAAAGTTCATCTGGGCCAGTTCCCTCTCCCACTGCTGGAATTCCCTTTGTGCCCATTAAATTCAGAACATGACGCCTGATGGAACTTTCTATGAGGACACATTAGAAGAGGATGATTTGATCACTGCCATTGAATTGCAGCTTTTCTAGAGGCACCAATTAAACAGTAATTACTGTATTGAAAGAAAGTGGCCTATTCAACAGGATTTTTACAAACACACCACTTGCTCACACCTGTATAAACCACTTTGGATACAAATATGCATTGTAGGATATTATTCTTGGACTACACCATCCCTCTCTCAAAGCAGCTTCCTTAAATTCTGCAGAAAAAGTTTTGAGGTCTATTAGGAAAACATGTGAAACATTCAACATATTCATTCACTTTTAAAATAACAAAATGTTCATTTAGTTCAAATAATGCACTCTTATTCCAAAGCACATCTTCCCTACCAGCATGCTAGGTGGCCTTTGAAATATACCAGAATTCCTTGCAAAAATAGGGGGAAAACTCTACCAAAAGAAAAAGCTTATATCCTGTTAAGAATTATACATTATATATCTCTGGACTGGCATTTAGAACTTTTGGTCAGAAAGGTTTAGGGATCATGTGAAGAACATAGCTTCCACACTGGCAAAAGCTGTGTCCTAGACTGAGTGTTCCATAGAAATAGAAGTTTTTAATTTTAAAAGGAATTGGGGTCTGTGATGTCCAGAGGATGATGTCTGAGTCTTTGATTTTTTGAAGATGGACAGTGTATAATAAGGATTATCTGAATTCTGAATGGCCTAGTAGACAATGTTAACGAAAATAACGTGTGTGTGTGTGTCTGTGTGTGTGTATTAGGTATACAGTTTTATACCCAACAAAGCACTTCTCTCCAAAAAAAAGATGCTTCTGTGTTTTTAACTGGGTATAAACAGTGAAAGAAATGTAAATTACTTTTATGGTCATGAAATCATTTATGCGCCATTAAAAGACATACCACAGTTATGATACTGGGCAATTTTGGAATGCTCATCCTAAACTTGCCCTATTATTCTCTCTCTGATATAAGAGCCAAATAAACTATATGGTTTCAAATCTCCAAGAGGATTTCAGTCTTGGGCTTTAGTTTTATAATGTCTTGTGAAAGTTCCTTCTTTCTGAACTTTAGTGGTATAAAACAGTAGATGAGTTCAATTGGTGTGACGTGTCAGTTTTAAAATTTGCATTTACTTTACATACCAAGGCATGAACTACAGTGGGCTGATAAAATAGCTTCATTTTTCTACTCTGCTATTATTTTGGTTACAGATCGTATTTTCTATTGCCATCTTAATTTCAGTTTATTGTCTCCCTCATTCTAGAAATTAACAAAATTGTATTATGGTTTTTGTATACTTATCTTGCTCACTTTCTATACAGGAAATAAAATAAATCAATATTTAAAAATTACATTAATCCCATCCTCTAAGCACAGGTGTAAAGATAATTTGGGCAACGAAAGCAAATAAACAGGACAGTGAACCCTTAAGCTTAAAACATAAAAATTAACACTCTCAAAACTAGAAAAAGTGAAGTTAGCTCTGATTCATTTTTCTTAAGATATTGAAACTCAAAGTCCCTGTTATTACTGGTGATTCTAGAAAATAGACCTACATAGATATTCCAATGACTGTATGTATTAGCTCTGTAATAATCAACAGGCACTAACTATAAATACCATTCTCATCAAAAGAATGATGCACATAGTGAGCCTGAGTATTCATATCAAGACCAAATGTGTATGATTTTGAAAAATAACAGGATTGAAAAATAATGCTCATGGCTTTGGATTATAAAATAAGTCTTATTTTGGCCCAGATCACAATTAGAATGCATGAGTCAGAGACGCTTTGAGAGATGTTTGCCCTCATAAGATCTTAAAGACTCAGAAAGAGTTGTGTGTTTTGTACCATATCTTCTATACCAACAGTTTTCAAAGGGTGGCTTCGGGACCTCTGGGGGGCTCCCAGATCCTTTCAGGGGGTCTGTTAGGTCAAACTATTTTCATAATAACATTAAGACCTTATTTGCCCTTTACACTCTCATTATCTCATGAGTGTACAGTGGAATTTTCTAGAGGCTACTTGACAAGTGATGATACAATCTTTCTGGCAGCTAGTAGAATTGCTTGCTTGCATATTCTTGTGTTTAAAACACTTCTCAATTTTCATATCTGATATGGAAATATCAATAGATAATAATCCACAAAAATCAAAGCGCTTTGTGGTCCTCAGTCATTTTTAAGTATAAAGGCATCCTGAGATCAAAGAGTTCGAGTACCACTGGTCTATACTAATTGTAGAAAAGAGTGAACACTGTACATTCCATGAAACCCTAAAATATACCATAAAAGAAACCAGGAGTCCTGAAGCATGTGTTTAATTGTTTAGTTTTGTCTGCTCTACAATAGGCCACAGGCCACCACTGCCACAATGTTGGGTTCTTTTAAGGAAAGACATTGAAGCCTTACTACCAGGTTAGTCACATTAGAATCTATTAATACAGTACAAAAGTGGAAATTTGTTGTAAACTTTTTTTCTAGAACATAAATACAAATGATTTATCCTTTGATACCTATTGTAATAAGAATATATTTTCAAACAGAAATTTAGGTTAAGACACACTTTTAAACCATAGTCTAACTTGGTCTATCTTCTACATCCAATTCACAAACAGATGTGACAGAGTAGAATCCTATTTAGAAGTGATAAAAAGTAAGATAATTACTTTAATTTTGGTCCACTGACACATTATGACAATTTAATAGGCTTACTGATTTTTGCATGTATTTTTTATTTCACCTCCTTAATTTGATATTTGTTCACTTATAGAATGATAACTGAGAGGGCAAACTGTAACTCCCTTATTTTGACACATAATTCATGCAAATGTGGTTTCCCCAGAACCCAAGGAGGTACAAAGCTGCCCAGGGTTCACAGCGTGGGATGGGAGACCCAGGGTCCAGAGCGTGGGATGGGAGACCCAGGGTCCAGAGCGTGGGATGGGAGACCCAGGGTCCAGAGCGTGGGATGGGAGACCCAGGGTCCACAGTGGGATGGGAGACCCAGGGTCCAGAGCGTGGGATGGGAGACCCAGGGTCCACAGTGGGATGGGAGACCCAGGGTCCAGAGCGTGGGATGGGAGACCCAGGGTCCACAGCGTGGGATGGGAGACCCAGGGTCCACAGGTGGGATGGGAGACCCAGGGTCCACAGCGTGGGATGGGAGACCCAGGGTCCAGAGCGTGGGATGGGAGACCCAGGGTTCAGAGCGTGGGATGGGAGACCCAGGGTCCACAGCGTGGGATGGGAGACCCAGGGTCCACAGTGGGATGGGAGACCCAGGGTCCACAGCGTGGGATGGGAGACCCAGGGTCCACAGCGTGGGATGGGAGACCCAGGGTCCACAGCGTGGGATGGGAGACCCAGGGTCCACAGCGTGGGATGGGAGACCCAGGGTCCACAGTGGGATGGGAGACCCAGGGTCCACAGCGTGGGATGGGAGACCCAGGGTCCACAGTGGGATGGGAGACCCAGGGTCCACAGCGTGGGATGGGAGACCCAGGGTCCACAGTGGGATGGGAGACCCAGGGTCCACAGCGTGGGATGGGAGACCCAGGGTCCACAGCGTGGGATGGGAGACTAAGGGGTGGGAGGGGCTCTGAGTCCCTGCCTCAACCAGGTCAGCTCCTCTTCAAGTTCTTTCAGGGATTCAATACAAAAAAATAATAATAATTATCCAGCCACCTCATTTTAGGCTAAATAACTTTACTGTTAATAATAATGCTCATAATAAAAAAATAATTCTAAGTTCAAATCCATTCTCCTCCAAGGGCACTGACAAGATTTAACAAAAATTTGTTACTCATATCATTTCATCAGAAAAATGAAGATAAGTATTGTACCCATTTTTCAGATGAAGAAATAAAAAAAAAAAAAGAGTTATTTTCCTTTAACAATAAGTGACACTTCTGGGATAGAATCCAGGTCTGTGACTCATATATTTAAGTATTATGAGCTATCAGTTTATTGTTAAGCATAAACTGTTCAGAGACATTATACCACTGCAAGGTCACACATCTAGCAAGCAGGACACTCAAGGCTAAAACCAACGTCTTTGGGTGCCAAAATTTTCAACTATAAGGCTGTTACTGAGGAATAATTATTCTATGCCTTTAAGTAGAAGAAATACATACTGGACAAGAGTATAGCTTCTTTCTTCTCTTCCCTTCTCCCTTCCAATTTTAAGCCCCTCAGGACAACAATAACCTGGACATCCATCCAGCCTGGAGCCCAGTGGGAACAGACCATGAATAAAACAGGATTTGGGAGAATGGGCCATGACAAACGAGGTGAATGATCCCACAGTCCAATAAATCTGACCCCTAAGTCTATCACACTGGGTCAGAAGGTCCAATTATAGGTCTGTTCTAGTTTTTTTTATGATTGACAGCAGCCAGAGGCAAAATTACTTTGGTGTCTGTTAATCCAGCCTCTAATTTTCCCTTTGCCTCAATACATACAAAGCATCATGGTGGCCCAGGGCGAGTGGTACTGTGAATCCAGATTTAAAAAGCCCTTGTTTCCCATAAGAAGAGCAACCGAGTTCAATCCTAGTCCTCCTCACGGGGACATTACCTGAAGCTCTGTTTGGAAGAAAAACTTCTGTGGACATTGTGTGCAGTCGTAGATCTTGTCTTCTTGTCCATGGGCAGAGAAAATATGCTGCTGCAACTTGTTTGCTTGAACAAACACTGAAATGATAAAAGAATGGTGAACTTTGGGTTATTTTCTTTCCGAAATCCCCTCGGTCGATGACTCTGTGAACAGACCCAGACTGAGCAGACTGAATGGCACTCCTTCTGGGTGTGACAACTGCTAGGGACCTGGGGAGAGCTGAGCCACACTTGCTCATGGTTGGGTCTCTGACTTTTGTTGAGATGCACTCTACTAAGCACCTAATTCAACCCAAACAGCTCCAAAGTAAAGGTTTACGGAGGCCCAGCTCCCTATAAATCTTTTAAAAATAAAGCTGAAAATTGTCAAATGCACAGCACTCTCTGAACAGAAATGACTCTTATTTCTCAGCAACCCACAGGTTAAGAAATCATAGATGCCAAAACCCTGTTTATTATATTTGCCTAAAGTTATAGCTAGCAAATAGTTCTCTATTTAAATGTGTTAATGCTAAAAATTATATCCCACAGCTACTCTGGGGTGCTGTCTATAAATGTGAAACAGAACGGCAGGTAAATTCTCTTTGGATACTTTAAGATCAACTCAGCCTACACACCGAATGCAAGGGTTTCAATAATATAAACATGTTCAATTTTAATGACTACAAAACAAGGCCCTAAGACTGTGTAACAGTTTACCTAGGAGACATACTATTAATAATTAAATTGTATATGCCAGAGGCAGTGTTTGGGTTGGCAGAACTGACTTCTGATGGATGCCTGGTGCACTGTGACCTAAAAAAGTTTGCATCTACAATATTAATCTGTATAGGCAGGGAAAGGATTTATTAAAGATGTTGGCATTTGACTTTGACTCCACTCTAATCATTAAAATTATTCTAATTGCCAGCCAACCTAAAATATTAGAATATTGTTCTTGTGAGTCATACATTTTAATCACATTTCTCATTACCTTCAAAAACTGCTCAGATTTCCTCTCCCACCTAACATGTTTTATATTGGAAGGGTTCTTTTCTTTTTTTTTTAATTGTTATTTCTAAAATTACTTCAAGATACACTAAAACAATTCAGGTCTGTCAGCACAGAAAATGCAGGCTGTTCACGATTAATGCATTTTGTCTCTTCTCTACATCAACAAAAAGAAATGGGGTTTTTATACAGATTTACAACTGATCTCCATATAACTTAGCACATTTTACGAGGCTTCTGGCCACAACATGAAAGAACTATTTTATTAGGGGTCTTAATCATGAGGAGACCTATGACCCAGTCCTGCTTACGAAGACTTATTATGAGGTTTTATAAAGAACTCAGACTCCTGGCTCATTGTATCTTAAGATAAATACTATGTATGGTAAAAACATAACACTATGTATTTTTAAATACAAATTTGGAAGAATAAAACAACAGTTCCAAAAGAAGGAGTGGCTGATAGAATTATTGAACAAAGGAGCCTCACAGGCAGATGAAGGCAGAACCATCAACACACTCAGGTACAACTTGTGCCAACTGTGCAATGAACACGGCCCCTTTCTATTTTATTACAAGACAGAAATCTATAGGCTGAATGCAGTGAAAGTTAATAATCGATGCTTGGAATTTTGCTCTGCAAACAAAGAAGTCAATTTTGAGAGAAGGATATATTTTTGTCTTGTTCTACTTTTTCTGACAAATGAGAAGGAAACCTGGCCTTGACAGGCTTGACCACTGAGTCTAAGACACATGCAAAATGATCACAAAGGATTTTCCAGAATAACTTTGCCATTGTCAGGGAGTACCAGAAAGGTGTGTGATCGTATTTCAACCCCTAAGGGCTTCAAATTATAGTTTCTGATTTACATTTTTTTTCTCGGCTGAAAACTATAATGCTACAACATCTAATAAGTTTCTTCTTAAAGGTATAAATGTATATCAACTTCTATTTTAAAAATCCAATTTCAAAGGAAATAAATGCCTCATCTAGTCAGTTTTCTAGTTCAAAGAATTTTGGAAGGGTTTTAATAATGTCTTTTTATTTCTTACGAGGAATGTTCTAAAATTCTTCATGTTTAAATAACAGACATGAGCTGACAACACAGCTGCACTTTTGGTCCAACGTCTTGTGATGAAAAAGCAGCTCTGTGGAGGCAGTCTCGGCCTTGGTAACCTTCTAACACGGAGAGGAGAAAAGTGAGCAAAACATGGATGTCGTTTTCTAAATGGAAAAGTACAAACTTCTGAAAGAACTTGAAATGCCATTTGTTCATCCTGACAGTTAAACTTCCTGCCCATTTGAGCCTTAAAGTGGGCGGCAATCAATAATGCTAATAAACAAAAATCAAACGTCTTCTCCTCAAATTGAACGGAAGTCATATCTGTAAAAGGCCAAAGCAGTGGGAAGTATGCTTTGGTAGGAAAGACATGACGTGGACATGAAACGCTCCAGAGTTTTCCTGAAGTAATCTTCCTACCTGTAAAACAGACGGGACACTTGAAGGTGCCACCCATCCCTTCAAAGCTGTGCTCTATCAGGTGGCACTGGAGTTTGGCAGGGGAGTCGAAGGTCTGGCTGCAGAGTTTGCATTCATGGTTCAGTCCTTCATCTGTTAAGGAAAATACATGGACAGAAAAGGTGAAACCTATCATATCTTTAATAGAGAGTTAACTATAATTTCATACATTAAGTTATTTCCATCACCTAAAATAAATATGTAATAGTGTATACAGTTTCTGGTTATTTTACATTTATGACTTTATATCAATTTAAAACATTTCTGAAATTTAAAATCCAAAGATAATCAGAAGTCAGATTTTATCTTAGGGTAATGCATTTTATAAGCTTTTAAAGTATAATTGGTATATCAACAATGAGGCATCTCCTTTTCTCTAATTATCATGATTTTATGGGCTGTGTATTTTCAAAGTCCTAAAATAAAGGACCCATAGACAAATGGACAGCTTCTTCCTCAGGCCTCTATTCTGGTTTATATAGAAGGTTCTAGGAGTTTCTATTTCTAATCATCAGATTTTCAGTAGTATTCCCATTATTACAGGCTTTCTTCTACTTCCAAGATTTTCTGGCAATTTTGAAATATTGGTAATGCTTCTAGTATCTTAAAAACACTCTTTTCTCTGCTTGGTACTCCCAGTTTCCCGCATCTTCTTCATTCATGGCTCCTCTGACTGTGTAAGACAGTGTCAGGTTCACCTCCTGATCTAGATTCTGCCCTTCTCCAAAGGCACTTTTACCAGCTCCAGGCTCACTTTTTTTTTTTTTTAAAGATTTTATTTTTCCTTTTTCTCCCCAAAGCCCCCCGGTACATAGTTGTGTATTTTTAGTTGTGGGTCCTTCTAGTTGTGGCATGTGGGATGCCACCTCAGTGTGCCTTGATGAGTGGTGCCATGTCCACACCCAGGATTCGAACCAGCAAAACCGCGGGACACTGAAGTGGAGCACACGAACTTAACCACTCGGCCACGGGGCCGGCCACCTAGGCTCACTTTTGATTTTTCTCTGATACCTTAGGAACAAGATGGTAGAAAAACATTTTACCGAAATAACAATTGCTATATAAAGTGAAGAGTCTGTGTTATGGATAGCAACCGTTATTTTATTTATTTATCTACTTTTGGAAGATTAGCCCTGAGCTAACTACTGCCAATCCTCCTCTTTTTGCTGAGGAAGAGTGGCCCTGAGCTAACATCCATGCCCATCTTCCTCCACTTTATATGTGGGACGATTACCACAGCATGGCTTGCCAAGCGGTGCCATGTGCGCACCCGGGATCTGAACCCGTGAACCCCAGGCCATAGAGAAGCAGAACGTGCGAACTTAACCGCTGCACCACCAGGCTGGCCCCGAAACCATTATTTTTATGTTGCCTATTTCCTCATTAAAGTGTTTATGAATTTTAAAATTTAAGAATTATCCTAACTCGTTTCAATTTGCAATTATAATAAATGAAGACCAGTAGCACAGGAACAAACAACCTAACACTTCTTTAGTGCTTACAGTGTTTCAGACACTGTTGTTCTAACTGCTTACAGATAGGAATTCATTTAATTTATCAAGTACTACTATTATTCCCATTTTACAGATGAGAAAATGAGGCCTAGAGAGTTTAAGTGACTTTGCCCTGAGTCACAGACCAATATTTGGTAGAGCCAGAACTTAAACTCAGGCAGTGTGGATGCAAACCCAGGCATACTGGCCTCAGGGTCAATGATCTGAGCAGATGTCTACCAGCTACCCCATGACTACTTATTAGGATGAGTAGGGCTAACAGGCTGCAATTTAACCTGGCTTGTTATCAAGTTACACTTTTATATTCTCTTATTTGCAATGATTAAAAATGCTACTAAGGAACATCTGTGTTGGATACTCTAGGTCTAGAGAATGAAAGACATATTCACACCATGCGGGTAACAAGTCTATACTGCAAAGTTATTTCCTTTCATTCAACACAACATGCATGTGTAAGTCCTTCACCAGTTGATATTACTGGGAACACAAAGGCCCAATTACAAAGCGAATTATTATTAGCTAACTAGGAGTAAAATCACTCTATTTGTATTCCTAATCTTTCTTCTCACACAAGTCTGAGTCTTTAGAAGCAGAGGATTGGAATTTGTAAAAAGAGAAGCAAAGCACTAATTAAGCCACCCAGTACTGTCTACATTTCACAAGAGATAAAAACCTACTCGGTATTTGGGTGGCACAGTAAATTCCCTGATTATAATTATGTAAGAAGGAGTTTAATTGTGCATACTGACATGACAAGGGGTTATACAAAAAGCTTTAGGGATTATATAAGATCAAGGGTTTTTCATCTGTTCCTTTCTCTCTTTTTTCAATCCTAAAGTCACAAAAAAATTTCCAAATTTTAGATATTAAGAAAGATAAGAAACACTATTTATTTTAGGGAATTGGATAAGTTAATCATCAGAAATCCTTGCCAAATTTAAATGTTTCCTATTTCCTCAATGCTGTATATCTTTATTTTGATAGTAAGAAGGTAATTAAGAGTTCTAATTTCATCTTTAAATCATGTGTTTTGCACAAGAACCAAGATGTGGCCTATGCGTGTGAGCAGGGATACGCATTTCCAGGATCCTTAAACTTACAACATTTGTGAAGTAACATATACTGGCCTGGTGGGTTTTCTTAGGGATAATGATCGACTATTACATGAACATAAAGTGAATTATGCAAGTTAGGATGATCTTTTGTGTGATATTTTCATTCTTGACTATGAGTATTTTCCTTGGAAAAATAATAGAAGGAAAAATAAATAAGATATATGTGTATGAGTAAAAGAAAACATCCTCATCAATTTTTATTTATTTCTTATGCAAAGAACAGAGAAGTTCCATCACAAAACGTTAAACAATCCAAATTTAGTCAAGTGAATTCACTAAAAGGTGATGCACAATCATAAAGTATTGACGCATAATTAGTGCAGACTTCTTTTTCATGAATCCCACATTTTATTTGAAGGCACTAAGTGACAGCAATGACAATAACAATAGTACCCAGCATTTTCAAGAACTCTTTACAGTTTAAAAGTACACCGTAATATTGAAAAAAGTTGGAAGTTCCACCTGCCTTTTATTTCTATGTTACATAGTGAGGTCTTTTCCAACAAATGACTTATGCTAGTTGAGTAGGAAGGAAAATATATCTGTGTTATTACACAGCGAATGACAGATAAGCAAAACCTAGTATGCTCCAAGCTAGACAGCAAACACACCAACGCATTCCTCTCACCTGTTCACTTCCCTACTCCTCTCCATGTTCACACTTGCTTACTACCCCAGGGTCAGCTGGACAAAGAATGAGAGAGCTGGGGGACCCACAACATTTTTACAACTGTTTAACAGAATTCATTTTTTATTAATTGAAGAAGGGGGGAGAGACAGTAATGGAAACCTAATAAAGCTTATTTATAATAAGAATTTTAAAAGTTTAGCCTTTTTCAGGGTCTCCACTTAACTCAGCTCTTAAACATACTATATTTACACTGTGTGGCTAAGAGCAGTGTCTTACTTTTCAAAGAATTTCTAAAACCCTTATTATTGGAAGATCTGGCTGAGTTAAGCCCTGTTCCTTTCAAAACTGAGCTTCATTCCTTCCCTCTTTCTATCTGTTAGAACGTAGTAAAGAACAGTAAGAATTATTACGGTTTTAATTTAAGGTCAATGTTCATGAGGGGGCACTATCAACACCTTCCACATCAGGTGAACTTAAGCTGTAGACTCAAGATTTTGCCTATGAAGCCACAACTTACACCTTGCCTTTTTTTCTCCCTTCTTCCTTAAAGGTGACAGAAACTTAAAAAATTCAATCAAAGTAACCATTTCTGCGCTCCGGAAAAGTAGCAGCTGACAGTAATTGGATAATACAGTCTGACTCATTTATTAAAAAGAGATTCTGAGTCAATTGATTTAATAACCACTACAATATTCCATTAAGGATATAATAGGCTAGTGCAGCCCTATTTTTTATTAAGAGTTATAGATGGGATCTATGGATGAAATTCTAGATTTTTCTTCCTCTTTTTGCTTACCTATATTCTCCAGACTTTCTACAATGAGCATGATTTGCCTTTGTAGGCTACTTTGAAAATTAGAGAGTAAAAAACACTATCCTTTCTATACCCTATTAATAAAGATTGATTACAGCACTGAAATTTTGAAAGCCAAAAAGTTAGACAGGAAATGAGTGATATTTTGGAGTATAGAAAAACTCCAGTTCTGAACATTAGACTTAAAAGTATTCTAGCCAAATACATGTGAAAGCAAAAATTAGCACAAGAAAAGGGAGAAAGGAACATCAGAGTGCAAATTAGTCAACTGAATGAGAAGAAATGGAGCTTTCTGCATAAACCTGTACCTTTCCAAAACAAGCAGAAACCTCTCTGCAGTACACTGGGGGGAGTGGGGAGGGAGCATGCATGTAGCCAACACTGTGGGTCCAATGTCAGGAAAGGCAAGAGTGAAGCTCTCACCACTGAGAATATGTTGGAGGCCAGCAACTTCCTGTCCTGGTCAACCACTTTAAAGCATGACCAAAGATGGTTTGGACATAATTGAGAAGCAATTTCACATGTATATAACTTCCAGCTAAAATAATTATTTCCATTTGTTAATCTTCATTTAAGTGTGAACATAAATGTAAACAGGAATCAAGTCTACATAGAAGCGACTGATGCTAATGTAAATATTTACTCCAATTTTAAATGTTTCAGAGGAAAGAGTCTGAATACCTAATTGCAATACAACCTCATTGCCTTAGTAGAGAACATGATAATCATTGACAAAACTTTGTGCTATAAGAACAAAATCTGTTTGTCTAAGGCCAGTTCAAAGGGGAACAATAATTTCTCTCTCTCCAATTTATAAAACCTGGTCCAACACAACTATTAATCAGCCAGTTTTATAACAGAAGAAATAATAGCTACCATTTGGATGCTCAAGCACAACTCAAGTTATAAACTCCAACATGGCAATTGTTAGCTTAACATGAGACACTGACATTTCAATATAAGCTTTAAACAAGAGAAACCCTTTAAGCAGCCTCGAGACTGTGTGTCCCATGTTTATA